CTTAATAGGAATAGGATGTAGACTCAAAAGAAGCAGGCGATGTCTGACTTTAAGTTTAATTTATGTAGATCCAAAAGACCAAAATATTATTACTGACTGGAAAGTTTGGAAATTGCGCTCCGGAGATTTCGAAAATTCAATAGTAAATATATAGAAAGCATCAAAATTTGCGCGCCCGATATCTCCGCCGCGCGATACAAACTTTAAATATATAAAATTATGTACAAATTATCTACTTCCCTCCTCGATAACATAAGTCATAACAGTGAAACGTCGTGATAACTTTTAGTGAATTCTTAATATATTTATTTCAAAAACCCCAAATGAAAAGACACGAAATAGAGAGGTTAAGATATCCCGGTTTCGGTGTACGTGTACGGGTAGGATGATTTTGGTTAGCAATATTTTCGTCGATGTCTGTACCTTTACTCGTAATTAAGGTGCACATTTTTCGCATTATATCATTGTCTATTGCAAGAAAACAGAAAAAGTATGATCGAATTACAGGCATCAGTAAAACAAGATGACACTACTCGTACCCGTACTCCGAAACCGGGGTATCTTAACCTCTCTAGTAGCGAACTTTTGCACGCTATTCCATGGTCGCCATTTTGATTTTGATTTCGTAAGAATTACGTAATTAAAATGACGTAATTTGTCATTTTGTGGCGTACCAAAGGGCAAACCTAAAGTCGGTGGGCACCACAAGTGGCCCCACCGACTAATGAGTTTCCAAACCATCTATTCCATTAACTATGGTTTAAATAAACTTAATACAGTAAAACGGCACCGGTGGACCCAGCTGTCACAAACAGCCAGGAACCCAAGGGAAACAATAAATAGCAGGATGCGATCGAGATAACCGAATCAATGTAATTACAAAAATCCTTCCAATCCAATGGCCCATTGTGTGAATAATAAACACTGTAAATATATAATACAGTTGTTATTTAACAATTATGCTGTAAAGTTTTTGTGTATAGGCGTCTTAAAACTGAAAGTGTTAAGTGTTGTTGGTTCAAGTGAGGCCAAAAGCTACTGTTAAAAGTAAAGTAAAATTAGGCGGAAATTGTATTTTAAAACTATAAGAATATAAAAAGTTTAAAGACGTTTTTAAACTTTTTATATTCTTATAGTTTTAAAATAAAATTTCCGCCTAATTTTACTTTACTTTTAACAGTAGCTTTTGGCCTCACTTGAACCAACAACATTTATATAATGCTACTGAAGGACAACTTTGTACATGAAAGTGTTAAGAGTGCATTCTTTGGACTTTATGTAATCCCTAATAAGAAACTGACTGGTTTCTTATAAAAGTTTTTGGAGTTCGAGATAACTCAGTTAACTTGGTAAATTTCAGTCAAACCCTCAAGCGATGAGAAATTCGTTCGAGATAGCGCAAAGTCCGACGAGTTAAATTACCGAGTTTGAGAGAATGGGGTTCTATTGTAATTCTATACTTTACCAAATGGTCTGTACTTGGGCAGATATCACCAGGGACAGCAGCATGCTTGTTACAGATTGCAAATTGAAACGGATCTCTCTGTATGATGGAACAGTTGTGGATGGTTGTAGCTTGTACGAGGGGAGAACACGATTTCTTGATATTAGCACAAGCTTGCTCCGTCCGCTTGACATCGTAATCCAACTTGAAACCAAATCCTGTTATGTTGCTCTTCTTGCACTTCATTAATACATTGGAACATGAATATTCACGAACATCGTTAAGGCACGCCGGGGTAGCGTTCAAGAATTGCGCGCCTGCAAGTTGGAGTTTAACCACTTGTAAACTCATCTGGTGCAAGGGTAGCGTTTTATTAGCTCCAACAACTCGGTGGTTGAACGAAGGACATACATTGTTTTTCGGCATGTTGTGACAGCTCGCTGTTTTAGCCGTGTCCATGATAAGGTAGCCTTGCTTTGTGCTTACACTTGCCGCGCTAACGACATAGTATAACGACACAAAAACGATGAATTTTGCAAGTACCATAGCTGCGTTGAATGCCACAACTCTAAACCAAGTTATGATATAAAAGACGAATTGACGCAATGCTATATAGTTTCATGTAATGCTATCTTGTGCGTCATTCAACATTGAGACTTGAGAGCAGCCGGAATAAAAATGTCAAACTACGTAAAACAACACAGACGGCTATTTGATGTTTCATAAGATTGATGATAGGATTACTGTAATTCTGCTTTTATTCAATCATCATGAGTGCGAATATAAGTATTATTCGTTACCTTGGCCGGTTGTCCTTTTGACATGTTTATTAATTTAAAGCTGCTTTCTGAATGTGTTCAAGTTTTTTTTGAACGTCTGCATATGAAAGTGTAGAACTAAGAACTTCATTTTCACAAGTTTATAACTCTAACTTACCGAAGGCGAAATTCATATTAAAATTCCAGGAAATCAGATTTTAGTCATCAGGAATGATGACTAGAGTCTAGTCGGAACGTCGATTATTAGTTTTGCGGTATTGACTATTGTACCCGCATATCAAGTGTTAGATGAAAAACTATGACTGGCTATGATTTACGAAAAGCGAGCTGCTCCACATGACATCAGTTTCTGTATACCAAAATTCGAAAAATGCATGTGAATGAAACTTGATCATTTAGCTATATAGTTTCAACTTAAACTTTAGAATAGCTAGATTAATAAAATGAAAATGTATCCTCAAAATTGAGCATTGTCAACTCAAATACATGTGAATCTCTCTTCTTCCGAACAGCGGTCCACTGTACGTTATTTATAACTTATTGGTTATTCTAGTCGGGACAGTGGCATTAGCCGAATTCATATTAGGGACGGGAAACTCGTCTGTAAAAACCTTTCTTTATATAAAGAATACTAATTAGGAGTGTTTTATCAGGTTTAAAGCCACTGCACGTGATATATTATGGTTGACATGATTTGCCAATAAGCTTATGAATTATTAATGAGTGTTTGAAATATTGTATGATATTCTCATCTAAAGTGCTAAACGCCCTCTTGCTGTGTATGTGGTCTAAATATAAACCCTTTGAAAAAATACTGGAGCGTTTATTATTCAGGAAAAGCTATTAATTTTATTTTTGACATTTAATCCTCTTTCGCAATACAAGGTGAATGTTTTTCCCCAATAATCAGGGTCAGGTACCATGGTATTAATCAGTGTGTGACGTCATATATCAGGTCCAAGCTATGCATGGGTCCAAGCCTTTCTGTTTTCTAACTCTATGAGACTACAGTGTCAGTTCCGTATTGTAAATCCGTTCGGTACAATGGAATTGAGTAATTCGATTTTGACAACTATATTAAAGTTAAATGAGTTCTGCAAGTCCGTGACTGAGCTTTCCTTATGCCGTCATGCAAAGTTCACCACTTCACGGCTTTGAATTCTGCGGTCAACACAGAAAAATAAGATTAAAAATAACAATATGATTTAGATCTAGTGTTAACAGTTATGACTAGACAGGGAGATTGTTTTTCGAACATGCCAATTATTCAGCACTCATCATTTGAATGTTCGATCGAAAAATGTTTAAAAAATCAACACATGAACACCAGAAGTGAGAAGTTGAATATTGGCAAATGGCAATAGACCATAGCGTGAAATGTCCGCATACAGGGCCGTCGTATTTTTCCGGACATACTCATATTTTTTCCTAAAATACAAAAATATTTCCGGAGATATCTTTATTTTTACGAAAATACAAACCATTTTAGCTATTTTTCCCAATTCACTTTGTTATGCCCTGGGAATTACCTGAATTTACCTAAAATTCTACTGGAAATCTACCTGAATTTACCTAAAAATTCGACTGGAAATCTACCTGAAATTGCTTATTTAACAATTATTCGCCGAAGGCGAGGTGATTATCGGTGAATAAAAACCGAGACGAAGTCGAGGTTTTTATTCACGATAATCACCGAGCCTGAGGTGAATAATTGTTTTAGTATAATTTCATAGGTGATTATATGGAAAAAAAAAAAATACACATTTCTTCGTCATTTAATTGACAAAAAGGCTTCGGCCGCCATTTTGAAAATCGCTTAGGTGATTATCGCGTAATAATCACCTCAACGGCAACCAATCAGCGTGGAGAATTTTCAATAATCACCTATGTAATTATACTAAAAGCTATTATTAGGGGGGGTTGCAACACCCCCCCTCCCCGTCGCTACAGCCCTGTCCGCATATTTTAATTAGCACAGCTCAGATCACCCCCGTTACAGATACGCACAAATTTACTGTCTTTGTTTTAAACAAAAGTACAAAACTTTGTGTTCATAGTTCTAAACAACGTCATGCACGACTCACGAACATGACCAAGCTTAGCTGCCATAACTATAGATTAATATACTGATATAATATGGTGTCACACTTCCGCCAATATTCAAGTTTCTCAACATGTTTGTGGATCGGACATCATTGCATTGTAGTTGTCCAACCTATCTATATCAGAGATTGAACATATTTTCAAGAACGCATTTTCAACCTCTTTCCGACAAGTTGAAGTTAGATTCAACATTGAAGTTAGATTCAACATTGAAGTTAGATTCAACATTGAAGTTAGATTCAACATGGAAGTTTATAGATTCAACATTGAAGTTAGATTCAACATTGAAGTTAATTGATTCAACATTGAAGTTAGATTCAACATTGAAGTTAATTTCAACATTGAAGTAAAATTCAACATTGAAGTAAAATTCAACATGGAAGATAGTTGCAACAATGAAGTAAAATTCAACATTGAAGTTAGATTCAACATTGAAGTTAGTTTCAACATTGTCAATGAAGTTAATTTCAACATTGAAGATAGTTGCAACATTGAAGTTAAATTCAACATTGAAGTTTGTTTCAACGTTGAACTAATAGTTTCAACATTGAAGATAGTTGCAACATTGAAGTTAAATTCAGCAACCAACACCCGAGAAACAAAGCAGCTATCAGCACCTTCATTACTGAATTTGACTGGTCAATCCTTGATTCCCTTTCGTCATGTGATGAAAAATGGTCTGCCTTTGAATCAATTATTCGGTTTGGGATGGACATTTTCCTTCCCACAAAAACTATAAAGAAACGGCTCGATTACCCACCATGGATGACCCAACATTTGAAATCCCTAATTCAGCAACGTCAAAAAGCATTAGCGAAAGGACATGACCAGTTATTTAAAAGTCTTCGTAACCGCGTCAATAGGTAACGAAAACAATGCCGGAGTAAATACTATGACTCAAAAGTCAGTCAACTTAAAGTCTCTGATCCCAAACAGTGGTGGAAATCTGTTAAATGTGAAATGGAAATCTGTGGAATGGATCCAGTCAACCACAAGTATGATCTCCAACACTGCTTCAAAGCCTGTCATCCACTGGTAATGAAACTAATGAAATCAACGAAGGCAACGCATCTCTTTCACACTTAGCGAATACCATAAATCAAACCTTCCTAGAACCAATGAACACGTTCCAACCTCTAAATTCTGACCACTCCCAAGCCTTAAACGTGTCCGCCACTAGTAACCAATTACCATCTACATTAGTGTATTACCACCACAGAATCGTATATTTTCGGGAAATTATACAGTATATTAGTACCTACGAAGGCTCATGGCCCAGACACTTCCTGGTTGGCTTCTCAAAGAGAATGCCGATGTACTAGCTAGTCCCGTGTGCAAGATTCTCAATTCTTCTTATCTCGAAAATCGTTTACCCGCTGCTTGGAAGTTGGCAGATGTAATTCCCATTCCAAAACAGAAGCCTGTACGAACTGTAAACAAGGATTTAAGGCCCGTTTAAAGCCGAGGAAGTGGTAGTTGAACAGTTCATTAAACCGGCGATTCTCAAAGTGGTGGATCCTAACCAATATGGAACAGTGCCGAAATCATCTACCACGCAAGCTCTTATTAGCATAGTCCACAATGTTGCTAAAGCCACTGATGGCAAGTTGGCAACGGGGCCTTAGTTAGACTTGTTCTATTGGACTTTAGGAAAGCATTTGATCTCATCGATCATCAGTTACTTATGGTAAAGCTCCACTCTCTGGACGTTCCGCCGAGTGTTATAAATTGGGTAAGAGATTTTTTGACAAATCGTCAACAAAGAGTAAAGTTGGCCAATGACTGCTATTCAGAATGGTCCCTTGTCCCGGCAGGTGTACCCCAAGGAACCAAACTCGGTCCTTGGTTATATATTCTTATGATCAATGACCTCAACACAGCCAGTAACAACCTCTGGAAATACGTAGACGATACGACTTTAGCCGAGGTAATACCCAGAGGAGGGGATAGCAATATTAAATCTGCGGTCGATGACATCCAAAACCAATCCAACACCCTGAAATTTACCCTCAACGAGGACAAATGTAAAGAGATGCGAATACAATTTAGCAGATACAACACCAATTACCAGCAGCTTCCTCTAGTGTCAGTCAACGGTAAACAGGTAGACTTGGTCTTCCAAAGTAAAGTTTTGGGTTTGACTATCAGCAGCGACCTTAAGTGGAATAGTCATATTGATAATATTGTTAAAAAAGCATCCAAGAGATTGTACTTTTTGCGACAATTGAAACGTGCCAAAGTATCTACCACCGAGACGATGTGTTTCTACTGCACTTGTATCCGACCAATTGTCGAATACGCATCTCCTGTCTTTCATTATGGAATTCCCATATACTCTGTGTAAAGACATTGAACGAATTCAGCGACGAGCCATGAAAATCATATTTCCCACCAAATCATATGCCGAAGCGCTCTCCCATTCTAAGCTTCTAACTCTTGAAGAGAGTCGACGTCAAATTGCGTGCGACAAACTCTTCAAAGAAATAATGGAAGATAAAAATCTCCTACCAGACCCGAATACTGACGTAGCGTATTCCCTGAGAACTTCGAGAACTTTTAAAATTCCTAAATGCAAGACTGAACGATTTAAAAAGTATTTTATAATTGCTGCTAGTTCTAATAATGAAAGCAGCAGTCACTGAGGATTTTACATATTTCGAAAATAACTGTTAATTTTAACTGTAATTATATATTCTTAAATACATTAATAGATAGTATTATTAATTGAAATAGACAGTCCCATTAACTTAAAATTACAATTATTTTTATTATATTTAGTATTTCTAATCAGTAATAGATAGTATAATTATCTTATCTTTTCTTTTGTAAAATTTAACCGTTGTAATTCAGCCTCTTGGCTGCAAGATCGGTTTTTGAATAAATTGTAAATTGTAAATTGTAAATATTGACGTTAGATTCGAGTCGGGCCATTCGACATTGAACATAGATCGTGGATGTTGGAAATGCAAAAGGCTTGAATGTCGAAAATATGTTCAATGACAATGTCGAATCTATCTTGAAAATATTGGCGAACTTCTGACTTGATAAAGGCCACTCCTTTGATGTTTTTGACGCTGCCGCCTCGCGCCGGAAGAATATAGGAAGAGATTATTTCGCTGGCCTCAGAGTGACAAAACGTAACAAAGCAACGGTTTTACTAACACTAACCCTACTCCAAACACCAACTCTAACCATAACCCTAATCCTTACCCTAACCCTAACCTAACCCTACTCCAAATTTGTTTCTAAACCAATCTTGAAGAAAAACGTTTTGACGAAATGTCATTCTGAGGTCAGCGAAATAATTGATGCCAAGGGACCGGTCATAAAGTAAAGGGGGGGGGGGCTGGGAAAATCATATATTTGGTGTCTGCACTTTTGGTAGCCCACCCCTTAATAGCTGCACGAAAATTTGTAGCCCACCCTTAAATTGGTGCTGA